ATTCTTTATTTACATAGTTGCATGTGTTTTACATAATTAATAAAGATACAAACAAGTATCCATCTATTCAGGAATACGAAACATGACCTAAACAAAAATGGGGACAACATGAGGCATGTAATTACGGTAAATGGTAGTTCTGTCACAAAAGGGGGATTTTGCAAATTAGCAAACATAAAGCCCCGTGACCGGTTGTTGCTTTTCAAAACACTATGTGTCGGATATCTTAAAGAGAAGAAAATTAACATAAAACGTTCATAACCGTGTAAAATGTGCAAAATATCAGAATATTGAACTTTTGTAACAAAAAGACGGTCAGTACAAATTTACTTTATTTTGACATTATTTTTACGAAAGATACTTTAAATTACACACTAAATATAATACAAGTCATAATAATACGAATTAAAAGTCATCAGGAATGTTTTGTTTCTTGTTTGTTGACTAAAAATCCTGATTTCCGGTATTTATTTGGGATTTTATTTTACCATGGTTTCTTTGTCGTAGTCATGGAGTTTGTACACGGGTCTGTGTCACAGGCGATATAGTGTCCGGAGTCTGCAATGATTCAGACTAAACTAATATTCAGTCTGTCACGATGTGTTAAGCTTACAACAAAGGAAGGGATTGTACAGAGTGGCATAGAAAGATCCAGTCGTGGTAATTTTATTGCTAACGATAAATCCTTAAAGAAAGAGTGTTGTGTTATCTATTTATATCCTCGGGCTGCTTCGGGTTATGTTGGACATTTATTAGGAAAGAATGTCCGAACGGAACAACACCGTGCAGGCGGGCGATGTTATTATGTACTGTTACTTATTGGCTGATAATCTAATAATCTGAATTAATTAATAATACTACACGGTGTCAAAAGTGGGCATTACCATCGGAACTCGTCTTGGATCGAAATAATCTGTTGTTAAAGAAAAATTCATCGTCAACAAATCGCTTGACCCGATAAGACGTGGTGATCGTGTAATTATTGAAAGATCAAATATGGCCACCCATATTCAAATAACACCACCAAGACAGTTTTCATTCAAATGGGAAAATTGGGAAGCATTGATAATGACTAACTTAATAAACTTACTAGACTGTTTTGTGCTCTATTGCTGTTAGACGCAAAAAATCGAATCCGTTAAAGCCAGAAATAGTATTCAAATGTTCACCAGAATACAAGATGAACGAAAATGTTAGGAAACCCCTTTTAGTGAAATTATTGATTACTTTTTCTTTCCAAACTATATACGTTAACAGAACGTTTTTTCTTCCCAGTATTAATGTATCACGTGCGCCATTTCACTATGTGAGCTATGTGAAAGTTACCCATTGAGGGCGCTATTTAATTTGCAATATTTTTGATTATTTCTACTGACTTTTTTTGATAATGTAGTAATGCATTTAAACCATTTATTTAAGATATATGATTTGTGTATTTCAGTAATTTAATTTATTAGTTATTATGGAATTTGCCAAAAGAGGCGCACAATGAGTGACTAGAAGTAATTTGCATATTTCCCATGAAACTTAGCACTGAGAAGTCAGTTTGGGTCAGTAACATCATTGGACTCGTCTGAGGAGCATCTCGTCATTTCACCTCTCTGACCACTGAACCATTCAGCCCGGAGTTGGTTTGCGAATGTTCGGAGTCCAGCTCATTTCAACTGTGTAGAAAGTTTTAACTCCTACAAGCCAAACTGTGTGGTATTTGTTTATGTGACAAACTGACGGGGTTTTAAGTGCCTGTAATTTAAAGTGTCGCTCTCTTGTTTCGGAGAATACCTCTGTCCTCCATACTTATTTATCCCTTGATCACAACTACAATAACATTACCTTGCAAAACATAGTCTGCGATATAATGGTTCGTATTTACGTTTTTACTGAAGTCTGACTTTAATAAATACTTCGGATGTCACATACGGTTTTTTTTCACTTTTTGCAGTGCGTTTTCAGATTTAACAACTAAGGGAAACTGGCCGCGCGTAGTGAGATGATTGACCACGAAATTGAAAGCTGCCTGTGACAGAGGTACTATTGTGTAAAGCGCAAAGACCTATGGGAAGGAGATTGTGTGCAATGGTGATAAGAAACACGTATCGAACTCTACGGAGTTGGTACTTTGAGCTTACTACCTAATGCGCGTATACAAGTTCTATTGTGGATTGTTATAGTGATTCCATTTTATAGTTGTTGTGTTTATTCGTACGTTCTTATCTTCTACCTATACAAACATTTACTCCTATGCTATTGATAAAAATCATTGCTCGAAACCACTAGCTGTTGTTAACAGTCACTAAGGACAACGATTATCAAATATCATCTACTATATATCATGATGATTACTAGTTACCCACGTCGTAATTGCAATTTGTAAAGGACACCGGGAACGAGCGAACCCGAGAGAGTTCCGCTCCTGGGATGCATGACGTCACTAAAATCATGAATAATTAATGGCAATAGATATACCTTAAAATAGACCCGTGATAATTTCGCATGGGACCAAGATTTAAGAACTCGAACGTCGGTTACTCTTTTGAATGTATACGTCATTAAATGGCGTCAATGTAAGTCGGCACTGTAATCTAAACTTCACAACGGCATATATAAGGTAATGATTGAAAATTGCATTAAAAACAAAAATTAAAAACTAATACTTTCGTTTCCCCGCCAATACTCTTGCTAATACAATATTATCAGTACATGGGTCAGATTACTGTGAATGACAAGACCAATTTCTGGAGATTTGTTTATATCAAAATGGTCGTATACCTAAATTATCAGTTCTTTTCGACAGACTAGCTGCCGCCGAAACAATACTTCAACTGGCTTCGAGTGATGCACATCTACGATACCCGATATGAAAACCGGTTATAACGTCTACAACGACAGAATATTGAAATGATATTTTGTTATGTTCTTGACATGAACGGTCGCCTGGCGACAAAATACTTAGATTAGGCTTTGCCACATGACAAATGTAATACACACATTGTATATGACAATCGGTGCACACTTAACACGACTCTATTGACGAAACACAATTTAGAATATAAGTATCCAGGACGATTCAATGAAACTGAAGCTATGTAAAACATCACAAATGCACCGTTACAAACCAATATGTTTTACCCGGTAGATTACGTAAGGTATGTATTGGTATACATAACACTACGATAAAGATTTTCCGTTTTAGACATTGTGAAAGTTATTTGTTTTGGGGGGATTTTTTTTTTATTTTGACAAGATAAATCAGAAATTTATATTAAGAATAATTCATACCGAAATGTATTCCCTAAGCACCTATAAACCTTTTATAATTACCGATTACGCAAGAATATTACAGAAAAAAGAAGCTTTATTCTCTATATTTTTGCCTTTTATTTGTCTTGAATTGTGACTGAAAGAAGCTTAATGAACATTACATACAATGTAGTGTGTTCAACAACTCATGTATGAACAATAACTTTATTAAACATGATTAGGTAAAATACTGTATTTTCTTCATAAAAACGAAAGAATTTCACAGTGTTGAAAACGTAAAAACTGTATCGCAGTGTTACATCTAAACATGTTTGCTTACAGAAAAATGACAAACAATTATTACAGGAAACTGCATAGTAGATCCCAACATTTTGAGTGTACATACTTTTAATATTGCTATTTTTGAGAATTCAAGTTGAATGAACAGAAATGATTGTTGCCAAAGTTTCCAGCACAATTTTCTGTACTGTTATATATTACTCAGTTTTGTAAAATACATATATATAATATGTACTATGTCAACACAGAGCTATGTATAGACACAATTTGTGAACAATGACAATTACTATGATCATTATGGAGAATGTGAAAGTATAAGTCTATTTGTGTAAATTAATAATTAGATAAGGCAGCGTGGAATCGAGCTAGACAAGGGGTGTGTATTCACAGGACATCAGCGTGGAATCGAATTAAACAAGGGTCATGTATTCAAGCGTTGTATTCCAAATTACACGTTGTCATGGTAATTTGTTTCAGCTGCATGCAGTATAATACGATTTAAACCAAGTCATCATATTCAATTTATTGATTTATAAAAAAACAACAATGTGAATTGTCATAGTAACAAAGAAATATAAATCGATATTTTCTACTTCTTCCTTTGAGGAATTCAGCAGATTATGTAACCTATACACCCACACATATATAACACTTACACACAGAAACTTTGCATACATTCAATGCATTGGTTTCAGAATGTATTTTGTTATTTACAAAAGCAAACGTATTAAATCATTGGTTTGAAGAATATAAATGTTATTATGGCAAGATTTTTACACGTCGGCAGACGAATATAAATATTCGTGTAAACACAGGCACATATACGGCGGTTTGAATTTGCAAATACTATAAACATAGCATTCCAAAATAACCAAAAGTTGTGGGAGTCATTTTAGTTTGGAACTTTTTAGTCAATGAAAATCTGGAACAGAAATAAATCCTATTTTAACGCTCAGCTCTTCTCAGGTATTTTAATGTTTTGATATTTTGACAGTGCAGCGCGAGTATCGACCGACGCACAGCGGGGTCTGAGTGTATGCTTAGCGGTATCCTCGTATTAACCTTATTATTATACATTTTTTCCTCCTCTTTGGAATGTCGAAATCTAAAAAGTTCAGAACAGTTTGTCATGTTTATTTTTTATTATAATTAGATGACACTTACGCGCGTAATCATTCCATATCTGGAATTCGCATTTCCTAGTATAGAAGGGTGCAAATGCCAGGTGCAATACTGCAAAATCACGGCACGCTATAACTTATGGCGTTACGATGACAGATTTATAATGAATAATATTTGTAAAAATAATTTCACCACAGACATGTCACTATGAGTTTAGTTATGTTACACACTACATGACCAATGTCGGGGTATGATATTTAATCATTGTAAATATACCACAAATGATTCTCCCGAACCGTTAGTTATTTCGCTTGCGTCCAATATAATAACCGTCCGTACTATAAAGTCTCCGTTGCTGGCTTGTCTTCTCTGGCAAACATCTTTCTTCCAAATCCGCGAATTCGTTCTTGAGAGAGGCTGAGGCAGCTTGACATCATCACCATCCCTGTAATAATGTAAGCCGCAATAAGTGCTTGTTGCGACACAGGGTCATCAGTATTATAAACGGGGACTAGGTCACCAAAGCCAATGGTCGTGAACGTCATTGTACAGAAGTAAATGGCGTCGGTGTACGTCCAATGCTCTGACGAAGAGAATACAGCCGCACCTGCACAAATATATGCAATGAGTATAACAACAATAAACATAAGTGGCGCATCCTCGCTGCCTTTCACAGTTATACAGCGTGATTTTACAGTCTGAATTTCTTTTTGAGAAACTACATTGGCACTATCATAATTCATTGTTTGTTCTTCCTGTAATGACGGTGCCATGTTTGTCACGTTGGCGTTTTCAGGATCTTTGTGGTTCGAAGTTTCTTTGTCGTGCTTAGTTGTGACTATGGAATCTACACTACCTGAGCCCGTACAATTTTCTTTATCGTCACTTTCACTATTATACAACTCATTCGAAGTCTGGCAATATTTTCTGCTACATGCACCAGTAGAGGAGGATCTACATTTTCTCCTTTTACCTGTAGCCTGTTTCACTCTAGTTGATGGCTCTTTGTGAATATTTTCCATGCTTTCCAGTGCACTGTGGTATAGATCGCCATCAACATGCTGAGTACCACTGTCAATGTGCAGGTCAATGCACTCCGACACAGTAGCAACTTTGCAACATTCTTGCAAGCTGATCCCCTTAATGGAAGCATCATGCTGTTCATCCTGCACACCAACGTCATTGTTATAAACTACTTGTTTATAGCTCAACAACGATAAGTCAGGATCCATGGAAGTCCTCTGTAGGCCATCTTGTATAACGTCCTCCATCACTTGATCTTGTATACAAACTTTCTTATTTCCCGGAAGACATTGTTCGGTATTACGATCAGAAAATCCATAAGAATGTCCAAGTCGTTTTCGAAGCCAGGTTTTCTGTAAGACGTTTCTGCTTCGCTTGAAGATGTTTCGTAAAGGTGCTGCAATCAAGTCACCCAACTTTGCCAAGTAGAGAAAATACAACGGAATTCCAACGACAGCATAGAACGTACACAAAAGTCGACCTGCTGTTGTTACTGGTGTCATGTGTCCATATCCTGTTAACAAGAAATACAAGTTTAAATTAATAACTAGATATTAGTACACTAACTAGTTTAGACTCATGCAATTTTATTGGATATGATGTTTTTTTTATTAGTTACAATGTAGTTACATATATATGTAATTACATACATGTATCTAATGCATACATGTGTTGTCCCGCAAGAATTTAAGTGCAACATTTCACAAATTTGTATGCATATTTCGATAAATTGTTTATGATATTGAACCAAGTAGACATATTTTGGTCAGAATGATAAGTATTACTAATGTCGGTGTCTTTTAACAAAAGTTCACTTTGTCATTCAAAGACTTTTTTTTTCTCCCAAATGCAATAATTTGTTGATACCAAGTGGTTTATTTACTCAAATTAGGTAAATATATAGAAAACGTGAAAATCCGAATACCATTTTGTCAATAAAACACCTTAAACGAAATAATGCGACAATAATAAAATACAAATACGATATTTTTTTCTTTTCTACATATTAGATTCGTCAGTACATTACGCTCATGTGAAATGTTTGATTATTACTGCATCGTAAACATATTAAATGTCAGTGAAACAATGAACAGCAAGACGATCAGGTGACTAAAATTAAATATAAAAACTAGTATTATATATCATTTATATATGTATTACATATATTCAATGTAATGTAAACACTCCTTTTTAGCAATAGCTGCAAGCAAAAATGTCAGCAAAAACACCCCAAACTTATTAAAAACTGTGTAAAAGCTTCGTTAACTTAAGTTCTTTGTTTATTATTTTACTTCCACACATTCATTTAATAACACTACTATGTTATCGTAAATGTCAATTTCACCTGATGCTAATAAAACAGCACTACAATTGATGCATTCCTGTTGAGTTGAATATATCTTACTGAGAGGGTAATCGTATTTGTGTTCAATATGCCAAACTATTAGCATGGAGTTTCTTTCTTGCTCGATAGTTATTTCATCAGTTTCAGATCATTGCAGACTAGTGGGTCATTTTCTGAGAATTATCAATTAAAAAATATCATATTAACGTAAGTGAGTCATGTGACATAATGTGGTATTAACTGCATATTATCTTTAAAACGGTTGTAATTTACCAATAAATAGTATTACGTTTAGTACTAAACATTATAAGTCAGACAAGTAACTGTCAATAGATATTTTCATACACACGCAATTAATTATTCAAACCACGTTTGCCCTACACCAGCTGGTAGGGCTTGTTAAATTTCGTTGGAGTATTTGTTTACATTATTCACTGTCAATGACGTCATATACAGGACTGTGAAGATTGATCGCGGAGATTATATTCTGGATTTACACTTCATACAAAAGAATAATTCCCTATGGATGATATACCATTGTTCATTATTGTCTGTTTATTATGTCCATTTGCCATGGCAACGTTCAATAATACGGTAAAAATCATAATTTGCGTGAATCGTGTCAATGACATAATTGATGAGTAAATTCGAACAGCATGACCCATTGTAACTATTGCTAATGTACAAATTAACAAATAAAGAAACATTTGTCATATCGGAAATAACTCTTTCAATTGCTATTGTGAAATCCTAGTCGTTATATAATAATAACGTTTTAATATATCACCCGCACATTTGCAAAGGATTTTTGTTGCAGCATATCGCAATGCATTACGGGATTATAATTCTTTATATGAACTCACATACTAACTCTAATTCATTGAGAAAGATATATGGCGTTAGTGTCACGGGGGAATTTTTCTCTGGTCTGGGGGTTCTCCAACACGTGTCGGGGGGGGGGGAATTCTCGTCTGTCTCTATATCTCGTCTGCTTGAAGTACCGGACCGGGAAAGTCACTTAAGCTTTACAGTCAAATAAGACACACACAACGAAATACGTTTCAATAGCTAGTCATTAGCCACATCGAGAATGGGGTATCTCTGCCCTGCACTGACCAAGACTATCTCGCCTCGTGGTGCTCTCTCTCTCTCTCTCTCTCTCTCTCTCTCTGACCAAGGACTTAGACTGTTTATTACGTATCAAAAACCAATTACAAAGCAGTTTAAAGACATAAGGCGTAACCTTCACACATTCAATTTGCACATACCCAATCACACTAAGTACTGGACAGGTCATATCTTTTGATCAATCGTTCACTATATTAATAAAATACAAATACCAACTGTCAGAATGAGTAGTCCGAATAGCGACGGTTATCTCGTAATTAGTTGCAAATCACTGAGTCGAGTTCCGTCTAGGACCTCGCATGAGCCCAAATAATGACAAATATAACACAGCCATTCACTAGTAATCTTCTAAATAAGTCGCACAACAGATACGCGAAAACTAATTCATGACATTAGTGTAATTAGGGTTACTGTAATAGTCACAGATAGTAGACGTCATCATACAATGATACTACAAAGTTCAATTAACCAGAACATTGAAAGTATTTAAACAATTTAAATGTATTCAAAGTGAAGATGACGCAACCCGGAAATTAGCTTTCGATGACGAAATTCTGTCATTCATATTTTATCTGAACTAATATTTGATTTACATAGAGTAAACAATATAGGTCTGTTTTCTATTTGCATTAATCTCCCTGAGTGTTAACAGTTTGGCAACATTATTCTTGTCTATCTATCCTGAGTGTTAACAGTTTGGCAACATTATTCTTGTCTATCTACCCTGAGTGTTAACAGTTTGGCAACATTATTTTTGTCTATCTAACCTGAGTGTTAACAGTTTGCCAACATTATTCTCGTCTATCTACCCTGAGTGTTAACATTTTGCCAACATTATTCTCGTCAGAATAGAAAACACCACACTATTCGCTTAATATATCATTGTTTAACAGTTATAATTTACGATGTGATGGAGTTATTGTGTGTTTATAAAATAAACAGACACTCAAATTGACTTCGTATACTACCTTTACCAAAACCTGGAATGCCTCTAATAAGTTTCGAAGTCATTTTTAAACTTGTAGTGATGTGTCAGACGTGGAGAACGTACCAAACATCGAAATACTTTTCAATAGTACACTCGTTGTTGTAACGAAAGTAACTGCCTACAATAAATCGCCATTATTACTCCCTTTTAATCCAACACATCACTTTTCTTTACCTAAATGATTCAGCACTCAATTCATTCGCGACGATGGGCAATTGAGAGTCGTCATGTAACATGCCTGACAACTACCAATACAGTTGCAATATATACTAGTCAATACAACACCATACAGCTGGCTAAAAGTTAAAACGTATTTGAAATAATCTAATTATATATAAATAAATTGAATAATGCACGCTAATCCCGTCTTCAATGGCTATATACATCAGCAATTATAGGTAGTCAGGCATCGGGATTCATGCTTAAATAGTTATTCAATATATTAGCAATCATGGGTAATCTATCCCACGTCATAGTTATTATACACATTGTCAAATATGGGTTATCCTATCATACTTATTGTATATTATTAAATAAGTAATTTTGTCTTAGGGATTCTACTTTAATTGTGGTTGTGTATGTTAGAAATTATGGAGCCTGCTACTTGTATGTGTTAACATTCCAAACAAATTTGTTAATGAAGGATAATTCGCAAAAACGACTAGCCTCAATGGACGAAGGATTGGTTGCTATGACCACAATCACAGTATTATGAAATATTATAGAATAAGATTAACTAGAATCTCATAGACACACAGTTGTTGACATTTAATCAGGATTAAATACGAATGATTTCTTTTTAGTTCAGTTTCTTTAATGGCGTTCTAACTCATGGTTCTCAAATACCGATTGATGGTACGAATTGAATTATGTCGGTTAATGTTTATTGACAGTAAGATTTATAAATCAATTTACTAAAGATGTGGAGCATTCATGTTAGATTGATTCGTCTAACAATATTACGTCAATGTGAGCTGATTTTGCTTTAGCAAATGAAATTGTATAAACATAGCTGACTGTCTGTACTTCATGTTTTGACAAAACCAGATCTGCGCACAGAATACGATACGTCTGCGTGAATGATTCACGCTAACATAGAGAAAATAAATATGATTAAATAGTTCCATGCACAATAAAAAAAAAATTGAGATCACTGAATTTATTATTCAATGCGAGTTGGTAATGTATTTTCTTCACGACCACGTGAGTTCTGACGAATCAACGTGACGATTTTAAATATGAGGTATATTTGTAATACAAACACTGACAACGTAAATTATTTCGAAATATCTTTACACGTTTGTCTGGGAGAGTATTTGAACCCATATGTTTGTGTTCGCTGCTATTTTACTTTTCAGAACTTGTCACATGAACTAAACATCACAATATTTATAATAAATATAAATTTATACGATCTCGGATTTACAAATTTATTCAACAAACTCATTTGCGTAAAGGATCGTTTTTTCTAAGACTACTATTTACAAAATGACAGTTTACAATTTTGCAACCTATGAATATTAATAATTAATGAATATGTTTATTTTGGAGACCGTTTTTGTTTACGGTTTTAGGGATGCATTGAAAAAATGGTCACTAATTTTATGTGCAGCCTTCACACCACGGAAAGTTACGGTGTTTGGACAGTTTGAATTGTAGTAATTATCAACGGTGTCTCACTATCTGACGCCTTAAACAAAATCATATTAATCAATAAATAAAACAAATTTGAATTACTATAATAAATTAATAATTAATTTCTAATAAGTTGAATCAACCAACATATTTAGGCATAAAAAATTTAACCGTGTTTCCATCTGCTCGCGTGAACAGATCAGATTTTTAAGTAAAGAGATATGGTGATAAGACATTGAGTTATGTTGAGAAATGCTGAAACTATTTAAAAAGAGACTATTGTCAACAATACTGCGTGTGCATATCGAATGTAAATAAAGTGAAGATTCCCACTGTAATTTCAGTTCATTTGCAAGATAGGAAATGAACTACTGTAATAGAAATTGTTCATTTCTCCCTTGCTAGTTTGGCAATTTCT